TTTTGCCTGTCTTCGTCTTGTAAATGGGACTGCTATATTGAATTCCTTTCATAGTTATATAGTTAGTCTGGCTTAAAAAAGACAAAAGTCCATCCAGTTCAACCATTAAAAAAAAAAATAAAAAAGTTATAATACTTTACCCACAGTTGATCTAGAGGAAGGTAAAAAAAACAGCAAAGCATGATCCAATTTGCTCCTGCAGGGAAAATAAATTCCTACCTGATCCCCCGAGAGGCAATCAGATATTCCCTGGCTCAACTTTACCTATTAATGTTAGTATCCAGTTATATTCTGTGTATCTAAGAAACAATCCAGGCCTTTTTTAAAGCAATCCACTGAGCTGGCCAGAACCAACTCTTGAGGGTGTCTATTGCACATTTTCACAGCTCTCACTGTGAAGATACCTTTCCGTGTTTGGAGATTAAACTTCTTTTCCTCCAGACATAAAGAGTGCCCCCTTGTCCTCTGTGATGACCTCAGGGTGAATAGCTCTACACCGAGTTCACTATATGAACCACTGATGTATTTATACATGTTGATCATATCCCCCCTTAATCTCCTCTTCTCAAGAGAGAATAAATTCAGTTCCTCTAATCTTTCCTCATAGCTGAGCTCCTCCATGCCTCTTATCAGTTTGGTTGCCCTTCTCTGTACTTTCTCCAGTTCCCCAGTGTTGGTGCCCAAAACTGAACTGCATATTCCAGATGAGGTCTTACTAGTGATTTGTACCGGGGTAATATGATATCTCTCTCTCTGGAGTCTATACCTCTTTTATTCCAAGAGAGGATTTTGCTCGCTTTAGAAACCGCAGCTTGGCATTGCATGCCATTATTAAGCTGGTGATCTACCAGAACACCCAGATCCTCCCCCACCATTGATTCCCCCAGTTGTACTCCCCCCTAATATGTATGATGCATGCATATTCTTAGCCCCCAAGTGCATAACCTTACATTTATCAACATTAAACCTCATTTGCCACATAGTTGCCAAATTTAACAGTACATTGAGGTCGGCCTGTAAGTTGAAGACATTCTGTAAGGATATTCCACTGCACAGCTTGGTGTCATCTGCAAAGACTGAAATGGGATTTTTAATCCCTGACCCTATATCGTTTATAAATATATTAAAAAGTAACGGTCCCAACCCTGAACCTTGGGGTACACCACTGACAACCCTAGACCATTCAGAGTATGAATCATTAACCACTACTCTCTGAATACGATCTTTTAGCCAGTTTTCTATCCATTTACATACAGATTTTTCCAAGCCCATAGACTTTACCTTACACATTACCCGTGTGTGGGGAACTGTGTCAAACGCTTTTGCAAAATAAAAGTATACCACGTCCCCACCACCCCTCTGTGCAAAGTTTTGCTCACCTCCTCATAAAAAGAAATCAGATTTGTTTGACAACTTCTGTCTTTCATGAATCCATGCTGTCTGTTGCCTAAAATATTTGTTTCCAGCAAGAACTCATTTATGTGGTCTTTTATTAAACTGTCCAGTATCTTCCCAACTATAGAGGTTAAACTAACATGTCTGTGATTACTTGGTAAACATTTTGACCCCTTTTTAAATATTGGCACCACATTGGCCTTATGCCAATCCAGTGGTACTATGCCAGTCATTAAAGAGTCCCTAAAAATTAGAAATAATGGCTCTGAAATGACAGAGCTCAATTCTTTAAGGACCCGTGGGTGTATGCCATCTGGTCCAGGTGCTTTATTCACCTTTATTCTGTCCAAATATTTTTGGATCATACCAGTTCAGAGCCAATGTGGATTATCTGGAGCTGTATCAATACCATGCCCATTATGGACAAGAGCTCCCCCATGCTAGCTTGTATACAAAGAGCTGAAGAAGGTATTTATTAAATTTGCCTTCTCTTTGTCCCCAGTCACCCACTCTAGATTATTTTGTAAAGGGCCCTAAGAGACAATTAAAACAAAGGATTGTTCAATTAGGCAATGTAAATTGTAATGGCTGTACAAAATGCTGTGATGTACATAGTCACTGCAGTATACATTATGGCAGCTTATGCTGCCCATAAACAGTTCAATAAAAGCCAACACTTCTCAGCACTTTGCAGTTTTTTTGGCACTTCCTAAACTCCTTAAAGGATAAGTTCACCTTTTAGGCAAAAATAATAAATGCACATTTTTTTTTGCAGGTAAAAAAATGTGCATTTATTATTTTTGTCTACAGGAGCCTGATCAGTAGATCTCCTGCAGATGTGTCAAAATATCTGCTTATCGTACGGGATGTACAGCCAAGCACATATTCTGGCAGGGCACTTCAATGAACTACCATGGTGCCGTGGTAGTTCATTAAGAACTACAAGCTGACAGCTGCTAAGGCTGCCATGACTTGCAGTTCATTCATTCACAGAAGTCTGTGAATGAATGATGCGGCTGTGTGGGCGGAGCCCCGCACGGCCACGCTGTTTTCAGATTTGACAGAGAGTACAGGAAGACTTCTCCCCATACTATCTCTCATGGGGGGGGGGGTGGCAGGGGCAGGCGGTGGCTGCGGCTATGGGAACATGTTACATGTTCCACCCTAAAAACAGGTGCAACATGTTCTCAAAGGTGAACATATCCTTTAACATGGACCTAGTATTGGATTTATTTCTTCATGTTAAATCCCAGTTGAAGATTTTTTTTTCTTTTAAAAATAAGTAGCCAAGCTGTTGTATACAATAAAAAAACAGCTTTTGCTACAATACTCGCCTTTTTCCCGGCACTGCCCCTGAGGATTCACCAGCTGAATGCTTGTAGAATGTGTGGGCCCAGAAGGGAGGTTTTGGACAAGCAGCCTGGCCATCTAAGCAGCGATCTCTCACTGGATAGAGATAGGTGAGTAAAGTTGGGTACCCACTGTCTGTTTTTTTTTTTTTAACTCTGCCAGCATCTACACATTTCTGTATCCACACAAGCAAGGTGGCTTCAGGAATCTCCTCTGCTGTGATACTTTTTGATATCGCAGACTCCTCCCCTATCAGAATACTCTGACTCTGATCAGTGCAGCAGCCTATTGGCTGCATATAACAGTCGGCCTCTGTAAACCGAATGGGTTACACACAAATCAAAATTTGTCTGGTCCCTGCTGATCTGGCTGAATTTCCATCCATGTGTACCCAGCTTTACATTGAGTGGGAAGGCTTGGGGACAGTGGTGGGGGAGGGGGGAGTATGGAGAACTGATCTCAGTGTAGCTACACCAAAACATAAAAGATTTTATACTCTTGGAAGTATATTTGTAAATGTCAAGAATTTACTCATGCAGACTTGTTAACTTGTTATCAGCAATACAAAGTAAACTTTAAAAGCAATAATGACCAACACAGAGATTTTACCACTCAGGGCAGACGTGTCCTGCCACATGTGACATGCAAATCTTAGGCAATTCCTTTTCAAATACTTGTACACATGATGAGAATATCGCACAAATGATCGTCCATTTTCTTACTTTTTTTTGTATGCTAGTCTTATGTCGAAAAGGAAGAGGTCACTAAAGTTACTAAAATTCTCATAAGACGGAATACGATGTCCCACGACAATGTAATGTATTGTATTGTATTGCATTGTAGTGTTTTCTGTAGTTTCCAAGCATGTTTGGTCTTGGTCACTTGATTTTTTATGGATGAATGCTGTACTGATTAAATGGAAATCATTCACTTTGCTATCGTAGAAGAAAATGTTTTGTGCTTGTTACTTCGGATAATTTTGCTTGAACTGTCATGCATGGCTCTCGCAAGCTGTGTACTAACGATCATATTATCATACGATTGCTCCGAAAGTGGTATTTGTCATCCGATTTTCTCATCATGTGTAACAGGCAGTAGGAAGCCAGTTGGATTATGAGGTAGGGGTAAAATGTGTGTTCTATAGGTTCTCTGGCTCACTATGAAAAAATGGTTCTGATAGGACCGGTAAGCAGGAAAAACCAAAAGGACCTCACACAATTCCCCAGCACTGTTGCAAGGCATTTATTTTTTTCAAGGTTATGGGTGTTATTGGTTGAGGGTCTCAAAACTGGTACATCATTAAAGGTGTCTCTGTTCGCCACTCACTAGATATATTTTTATTGGGGGTAGGGAGATTTATGGTGGTTTGAGGCAAGGGTGGACTGACAACTCATGGGGCCCCCAGGCTATAGGGGATCATGGGGCCCCTGTGTCCTCGCCCCACACCCAAAAAAGCCTATGAAAAAGCCAGTGAAAGGTACCAGGGTCATCTCATGGGGCCCCCTACTGAGCCTGGGCCCCCGAGCAGTGCCCGAGTGCTTCAATGGTCAGTCCGCCCCTGGTTTGAGGTAAGTAGTGAGGGTATTGAATCCTGTTCAATCCTGTTCATCGATAGCAGCCATTGTGACTGCTGATGTGTACCTAGGAGCAATATTATGGTAAAACAATGACCATTTTATCAACTTTCCCTAGCACTTATCATTCCATCCTTTCAAAGTCTTCGAAGTCAGCAAACAAAGCTTTCCCCTGTTATGTTTTGGCCTCTTGCAAAGAAACTTTCCATTTCCATGCATCACAGAAAATCATTTTTACATTGGCAGACTTTTCCTTTTGGTGAACTTATATTGTTTTTGGCTTTCTTTTCATTTTTTTGCTCATGGGCATCTTTTGAATGCTTTTGAGGGTCTACTTGATTGAGGGTTGATCAAGATATAACTAAGGGCCATAATCAATACTTTAAGCCCCACACTTTAGTTGAATTGTGGTCAGACTATGAACATTTCACTCTTCTACAAATTGTTTTACAAATTCTTAACAAGCGGTTGACATTTTGCAGTTTAAATTATACCCTTTATTGGCTTATTACCGTATTTTGCGCTCCATAAGACGCACCTGACCATAGGATGCACCTAGGTTTTAGAGGAGGAAAACAAGAAAAAAAATATTCTGAACCAATGGACTGCAGACATAGTACAGGAAATGACCAGAGATTAAGGACATAGTACAGGAGATGACCAGAGACTGCAGGCATACTACAGGAGATGACCACAGACTGCAGATGAACTACAGGAGATGACCAGAGACTACAGACACAGTACAGGAGATGACCAGAGACTGCAGACATAGTACAGGGGATGACCAGAGACTGTGGACATAGTACAGGGGATGACCAGAGACTGCAGACACAGTACAGGAGATGACCAGAGACTGCGGACACAGTACAGGAGATGACCAGAGACTGCGGACACAGTACAGGAGATGACCAGAGACTGCGGACATAGTACAGGGGATGACCAGAGCCTGCAGACATAGTACAGGGGATGACCAGAGACTGCGGGCATAGTACAGGAGATGACCAAACACTGCAGACCTTTGGGGAGCAGAGGAGGGGGGGAGCGGGTACCCAAATTTGACAGGTACCCGATCCCACTTCTGCGGAGCTGTCCTCCCTCCCTGTCTTCTGGGACATGTGACAGGTCCCAGGAGACCGCCAGACCATTCACAAAGCACAGTGCTTCTCGCTCATGTGGCTGTGAAGCCGAGTGCCCACACTAAAGATGCCAGCCTCGGGAAAGAAGACAGTGACGACAGCGCTGGACTGAGGAACAGGTAGGACCGAGATGAACAGAAGAGCCGAGCAGCCGGCATGGCGGCGGTGGGGATACCAGGCCGGCCTCTGAATATTCGCTCCATAAGACGCACAGACATTTTCCCCCATTTTTTGGGGGGAAAAAAGTGTCTCTTATGGAGCAAAAAATACAGTAAGTTAAAGTGGAACTTCACGGCATCTGAGCACCACAAACCAAAAAGCTGTTTAATTAATTTTTAATATTCAAATCAAACTCAACCATCCACACATATCTCCATTTTGTATTTTGCTAAGAAATTGCGTTGAAAAACACCTCCTAGCATTTCTGGCCATGGCCATCTTGAGTGAAGGCAGTTGATTCATGTAGCATTTATTTCCTGGAATCTGTCTGCTCTTAGCCCAGGCATGCAGGCAGGAAGGTGTGCTTACCTAACAAAAAACACTCCTTCCCTGCTGAAAACTCTTGAGATGTGTGCCATCATTTGCCTAGTCATATAAACCAGGATCTAACTAAAGATATTAAAACAAAAAAGGTTTAAAACAAGTAAATACAATATACTTTCCTATCTCTTACCAATACTAGCAGCATTAGGATTAACAATAGTCAGTGTTGACTGACAAGAGTGAAGTTCCATTTTAATACAGATGCAAGTCTTCAGGACCTTCCTTATGTTCACTCTGCTATGACTTAGGAGCCTAAGGAAGCTCCTGAAAACTGGTATTTTTATTTTAAGTATGCCAAAAAGAGTATCACCTAAGCTACACACTGTCAGAATTAATTGAGGGTTAACCACTTGCCCTCCAGAGGATTTACCCCCCTTCCTGACCAGGCCACTTTTTGCGATACAGCGCTGCGTTACTGTTTTTTGGAAAACTCTTTTTATTCATTTTAATTTAGCATTGAAGAAGTATAAAAATACAGCAACCGACCCACTATTGTGCTCCAGTTATAGACCTGTTTCTCTTTTGAACTGTAACATTAAGCTCTTTAAAAAAAATCCTGGCTATGCGCTTGAACACTCTATTGCCACGTGTCATTGAACCTGATCAAGTGGGTTTTATACAGACGAGAGAATCAAGGGAGAACACTATCCGCACTCTGAATGTTATTGAGAAGGCTAAGAGATCCCATGACGCTGAAAAGGCGTTATACATCTATTCTCCGGTGTGCGGCTGACCCTTCTTTCTACTGCATCGTGTGTGGTGGCGAGCCAGAGCTTGCACCTGTTGTGGATTGATCTGGATTGTTTGCCTGAGCGGTATACCATTGTTCTTTTGACTACACCAATTCTACACTGGTCTCAGCCTTACTGTATACACTAACCCTACAGCTACTGTACGAGGGAATGGCCTGGACTCTGACCTCTTCCCAATCTCGAATGGCACCAGACAGGGCTGCCCCTTGTCACCCCTGCTATTTGTTCTCACTCTAGAGCCTTTGCTTCATCGCATCAACTCCAACCCAAACATTACTGGAGTACAGGCGGGTGCATTTCAACACAAAGTGGTGGCCTATGCTGACAACCTCTTGTTCTCTAATGCTAACCTCCTGACCTCCTTGCCCTCTCTGTTACACGAGCTGAAGCATATGGGGCTCTCTCCAGGTTTAAAGTTAATCTCCAAAAGTCGGAAGCCTTGAATGTCTCCATACCGGAGTGCACACTGGCCAGTCATCGTCGCTCCTTCCCCTTTAAGTGGACCAGTCGTTCCCTTCAATATCTCGAGACGAAAATTCCCCCTCCAATCTGAATGATGTTTTCCTCCTGAATTTTCAACCTTTCCTGAATACATTATCAGCAGACCTCCAGAAATGGGGAAGCCTTGCTGTTTCCTGGTTTGGTCGTTGTAACATAATTAAGATGAACGCCATGCCCAGACTCCTGTACTAATTACAGACTTTACTGATTAAGATATCCCAGAGCTTCTTTCACACTGTGCGTGCTGCATTCACATGGTTCATATGGCAAGGGGAACATCCACGTATAGGTTGGGCCATACTGTTAAGACCAAAGCTTAATGGTGGCATTGGCTACCTGGTTCCTGCCCTGTATTGTATATCTGTATATATGACAAGAGTGGTAGATGGTGCAGTGGTGCAGACATGACAAAATGAAACTCTGGGTTGGACTGGAATGGGAGATGGCTCAGGCCCCGCTAGCAGGATTGCCTTGGGTGGCAAAGATGCATACTGCCTACTTGGCCTCGCACTAGGTCATTGGCCCTACATTGGCAGAGATGGACAGATTCTTTTGATTATTTTCCCTATCTAGCTTTCCTTCGCCTATGACACCAGTCATTGGTCACGCAGGCTTTCCTCCGGGCCTTACGGACCCAAAGTTTTTATTGCAGTCCTCGACAAGGCTATTACGTGCCTCACACTTTCTTTGACCTTCTAACTGGATCCCTACTTAAACACTACTAGACAGACAAGCGCCTATAGCTCTGGACCATTGGAGAGCCCTTCAGCTTTCACACTTTTTAGGCTCCATGCCTAAGCCGGCGCTCTTCTCTTGGCAACTTCACCCCTTTGAGGAGCTCTCTCTGCAGGAAGGCCCGACCCGAGGTACCCTTTCATCCTGCTATAAAACTCTGTTAGACCTCCATGCAACTGCCTTTAGCGAAATGGGAAAGGGATCTGCGGATGAGTTTTACTGAACCCCAGAAAGAACTCATCCTCTTCTCTGTGCAAAAATCTTCTCTTTGCAGCAAATATCAAGATTGCTCTTATAAAATTATTGCCCACTGGTATAGGACCCTTCGGTTCTCGCCAAACTCTTTCCCAATCAATCGGACTGTTGCTGGAGATGTGAACAACACCCGGGCACTATCCTCCATATCTTCTCGTAATACCCTAAACTACAGTCCTTCTGGAAATCAGTGCTCCAACTCATACACAAATTCACAGACATATCTCTGAATAATGACCCAAGCAGCAGTTCTCCTTAACCTCACTCCTATTTCTACGAAACGCTATCATAAATCTCTCCTTAAAAGCCTTCTAAATGCAGCACAAGCATGCATCCCATGTCAATGGAAACAACAGACAGCTCCTGCTGTGACTCAGTGGTTCGCCATGGTGAATGACATTGAACAGATGGAGCATATGACCTATGAAACAAATCAGAGGAACATAAGACCAGGTGGTTTTATTGGGACCTCTTTCGCTTCTCATATCAATACCTCCAATATACCTAATATTAGCTTTTCATGCGTGAACCAGGGACCATTTGGAATGGCTAGGTTGTGCAGTTCCCTGCTCCCTGATGCCCTAGTTTTCCTTTGACTCCCCCCCCCCCCCCCCGCCCTTTTTTTTTGTCTTTTCCTCTTCTATTTTCTTCTTCCCTCTCTTTCTTTCCCTTTCCTTCTTTTTCTCTTCCTTTTCTTTAATAGAATGCAAAATTGAAAATTCTGGTATGATCAGTCCCTAAGAACTTGTTCTGCTGTGGTCTTTGCTCTTTCCTGACTCTCTAGTTTTGACTCTGCAGACACTGTATGAGAGGCATGTAAGGTGTTTTCTGTATGAACGGATGGCTCAGTATTTACTTTTAGGATGTTACACAGTTGTTTTATTTATTATATATGGTTGGTGAAGCCGCTTTTTCATGGCATTTCATTGTTACTGTCGCATACTACCAAATAAAAAAAAAAAAATGCAGCAACCGGCACAGCCAGTAAAAGTAAAACAAAACAACAAAATTACAAAAGTATCCAACCCCCCGCCCCCCATCCCAACAATAGTGCAATACCTTCCTTCATTTAAACAGAGTCAAAGTGTAGGTGCCCCAACCATAAAAAAATCTTCACATACAACATACCCAGAGAACCACAGGCAAGGTAATATTAGACAATCTATATATATGAGCTAATTTTCAACAGATATCAAGAACCAACATAGTAGCAGGCACATCTGCAAACCCCCCTAAATGTTAATGATAGGGTAGAGGAGGCAGAAACCCAACAATGCCAGACCTTATCAGTAGAGGAGGCAGAAACCCAACAATGCCAGACCATATCAAACTTTTTGGGTGAACCCCTGCTCAAGTAGGTTGCCTTATATAATGGTAACATCTTATTAATCAAGCATTTCCAATATGAGATAGTGGGAGCTGCAGGTCTCTTCCAATGGAGCAAAATAGCCTTACAAGCACAAAACAGGGTCACTGAGAGGAGGGTTCGCTGTGCGTACAAAGGTGCCAACTCCTCCACCAGTCCAAGAAGGCACACCGATACAGGTTGCGGAATTTGCAATGTTGTGAGATCAACCAGAAACTGGACCACCCCACTCCAAAAGTCTTGAATCTTTGAGCAGGACCACAAAATATGATCAAAGTCCGCCAAGGAAGATGTACAGCAACAGCATTCCGCCGAATCTGAGGCATATATACGTGCCAGCCTAGCAGGTGTGTAGTATATTCTATGCACCAGGTTAAATTGGATGATTCGATCTCTGGCCAATACCAGGTTGTGGAAAGGATAGCCCCACATGTAATCCCAGTCATTCCCCTGCAGATCTGGGACCATGGAGATCCATTGCGTCTGACATTTCTCTAAAGACTTAGATCTGGTAACAAAAAGCTCTTTATATACCAGATAAGGTTTTCTTAAGAGTATCAGAGCTAAGCAACTGCTCCAGCTCTGAGGATCTGGCAACTAGAGTTGTACCCTCACACTGCGCTACAAAAGCATGACGGAGTTGAAGGTATCTAAAAAAATACCAGTTAGAGAGATGAAACCTGAGTTTAAGTTCGTCAAAGGTAAGAAGCATATCGGTCTCCAGTATATCCCTCAATTGCTTAATCCCCTTAATAGCCCAGACTGCAGGATCAGGAATGGTGTTGAAATGCGGCAGGCGGGGATTAAACCATAGGAGGCAAGGGAGTATCCCATCCTATCTGGTTGAATAAGATGATTAACCCTATCCCACGCACGCAAGGTGACTTTCATAGAGCCTGTTATGGGGGCCAAAACCTGGGAACCTCTGAAGAGCAAATTGTCTATCCCCTCATACGAGCCCATTAATGCAGCCTCCAGGACATTAGCCACATCTTCCTTATCCCAGGAGCCAACAGCGGGCAAAG